TCCTCAGGTGCTGGCCCGAGATGGGTTTTCTGCCTTCCTTTACCACTTAGCAGTTTGGGGGCACCCATGGGTGCCAGGTGCACATAGGAGCCACAGAAGAGGGGTGAGCTGAGGCCTGTCCTCAAGTGCCCTAAAGCTGGTGGTGTGGCTGGGGCGTTGAAGCCTTAGGAATACGGATGTAGAGCTCAATCAGCCACGTTACTTCGCCGCAGGGGGCCTCAGTTTCCTCATCTGTGATGTGGGTCATGGGACAGATGTGGAGAAAACAGGAGACGGTACACGTGTAACGTGCTTGGCACTGCCCACGGTGGCTGTTGTTGGTGTTACGGTGCCTGACGTGGGGAGCCGTGGCCATCCTTGTCTTGCGCTGCCCATCTGTGCTGTGGGCATGGGCCGGTGGCGTCAGCAGTCTCTCACCCAGACCCTGTCTTGCCCTGGCCACAGGTGGTTTTAACAAGTTCCAGACAGAGTACTCAGAGCACTGCGAGACCAACGTGGACAGCTCGTCCTCGCCGAGCGGCTCGCCGCCCACCTCCGTGCTGGGCCTGGGGGGCCTCCGCATCAGCTCCGACTGCTCGGACGGGGAATCCGACCGAGAGCTGCCCAGTAGTGCCACCGAGTCGGACGGCAGCCCTGTGCCATCCAGCCAGCCGGCCTTCCCCGTCCAGATCCTGCCCTACCTCTACCTCGGCTGTGCCAAGGACTCCACCAACCTGGACGTGCTTGGCAAGTACGGCATCAAGTACATCCTCAACGTCACGCCCAACCTGCCCAACGCCTTCGAGCACGGCGGCGAGTTCACCTACAAGCAGATCCCCATCTCTGACCACTGGAGCCAGAACCTCTCCCAGTTCTTCCCCGAGGCCATCAGCTTCATCGGTAGGTGTTGCTGTGCTCTGGGCAGGAGGGGTGGGCAGGCGCGTCAAGGTGTGTACGGGACTCTGGGTGTCGCCTGCGCCTGACTAGGTCCCGCTGGGCCTGTCGAGGCCTGTGTGTGCCCTGCATGTGCCAGCGTGTGCCCATGGGTGTACCCATGCCTGCTCTGAGTCACTGAGGCCCTCAGGGCCAGAGCAGTCCCCTGAGCGCTGGGCTCCCTGCAGCTGTCGGCGCCTCGGCGCCTCGTGTAGCTCGGGTTTTTCTGGATCGCTGTGTCGGGCTGAGCAAGCTGGAACATCACAGCTCCCAGACCTCCCACTGCTCTGCATCACACCTCAGCACACGTGTCTCACCAGGGTGGGGGTGTCACGTGCCTTTTGGGTTTTACTATATACCTGAGGGGCTGAAGGGTGGTTCAGAGCCAAAGGCCTACCCAAAACGGGCAGCTGTTGGAATGCGGGGACCTGCTTGGAGTATAGGGGGTGTAGGAGGAACGTGGGGGGAGGCTGAGGGAGGCCCCCCAGAGCAGTGTGTTCCGCTGTCTGCCTTGGAGCCCTCTGAGCCCCCCCACCTCCCCAGCCTCAGCTGACTCAGGCTCCATGAGTCGCCTTATCTCTGACGGCCCCCCCTCGCTTCCTCCTCAGCCAGTTGGAGGCTGTTAGGCTGCGGGTCATCTTCCCTGGCCTCCCTCTCGCCCGGGGTGCGGGGAGGGGACACAGATCGTGGAAACCCTGGGTTCTCTGAGCCTGGTGACCCAGTGCTCCTGCCCAGCCTTCGATGGCAGGGAGCGGGTGGCCAGGGCAGTCTTCTGCTGGCGGCGGTGTCCAGCGGAGGGCGTTTTGGTGTCAGCTGGGCTGGGCTAGCTTTAATAACAGGAAGTGGGAGGCTTCCCAGCCTCATCCGCTTACTGGGAACCAAAACTAGGTGCCTGGCTGAGAGGAAGGAAGGAAGCTGAGGCCTGGGGGAGGGGCTGTAACTGGGGCTGCCGGAGCTTCCCAGCTCTGCCCAGGAGGACATGGCCCAGGGTCTGTGGTGCTGCCTCAGCATCTGTCCTGCCCCCCAGAGAAGGAGGAACGAGGGGTGTGGAGGGGGACCCCAGACTCCCCAGGGTTGGGCTTATGCTTCTTGAAGGCTCCTCTCCAGTCGGGGAGGGGGACAGAACAGGGTGTAAGGGTAGATGGGAGCTTATTCCCCATCTGACAAGTGAAGGGATCGATGCCCAAGCATCCTATAGGACACATGGGACGGGATCCAGCACCAGCCCCCACTGCTCAGCCACACCCTGAGAGGGCTCAAAATAAAGCCAGTGGAAGTGGTTTCACTTTGGATCACCTAGGAGTGGGTTTGGGGGGCCAGGCGTTTCCCATATTCTGGTGTTACCACTGGAGGCTTGCCTCCACCACCCGCTTCTGCCCCAAATCTCAGGGTCAGACCACATGGCTCTACACGAAGCCGCAGTATCCGTCCCTTCCTTAGCTAGCCTTGTCTCCACTTAGTCCTCAAGTCTGGACGAAGCACCTACTGCGCGCTTAGCCCTGGGTATCCTCAGGTGGAGGTGGGGAGGGGAAGCTGCAGGCCAGGGGCAGTGAGCACCAGATGAGAAATGGCTGGTGAGCCTGTGACTCATCTTGTAGGGGTACACTAATTGAGTGCCAACTGTATGCTGGCTCCCGGAGGGGCTCAGTCAGGGACGGGGGAGCTTGAGAGCACCAGGGCTGCCTCTTGTTAATCTAAGCCCCTGGCACAGCCGTGGCCCAGAGCAAGGCAGCTGCCCGAGGGTCCACGGGAGGAGAGATTACAGGACTGGCTCGTTTAGTGGCTTGACCAGAATTTGTTGAGCTCCTACGGTGGGGGGGTTCCCAGGGGGGCAGAGGAGTCTGAGACCAGCACTGGGGGAAGCTGAGAAGGGTGGAGGGGGAGGGGAGAGTTGGCGGAATCTGGTTGTCTGTGGTCGGAGATGTCGCTGGCACATGGGCCTGCTGGGGGGAGTCTGGTAAGTGGGGTGGGTAGGCCCCACGTAAGGAAACTCCACTTATGGAACCTTGGGTGTGGCCCTCGTCCCATCCTTGGCTATTTGAGAGCAAGGCTAAGGCCCTAGGGACCGGCTGGGCCGGGCAGAGCCGAGGACAGAGTCGGGCCCTTATTCCACTGTGGAAGGGCCCCCCAGGCCTGTTTCCCAGGACGCTCTCGGCGGTGCCCATGGGGTACATTAGAACAAGCTGAGCCCCCACCCCCAGGTCATGAGCTGGCTCTGGTGGGTGAGATGAGTTTGGAGGAGCTTCTGTGTGACCTTGGGCTCGTCACTTTGTGTCCTTTATAAAATTAGCTTACTAGCCATGGTGCAGATGACCTGAGAAGGTCCAGGTGACACCCTCAGAAGTTGAGCACACCACCGTAGCAGCAGTAGGATGAGCAGTGATTAAGTCATCACAGTCACTCGTTTGTGGCACCGTCACTTGGCTCAGGTCCTTAGAAGGGCACTATTAGTGATGGGACCCATTGTATAGATGAGCAGATTGCGGCACAGGAATGTCCAGCGATTCGACGCTAATGAGTGGCAGAGCCCTCTCCACTGTCATCCTCTCCTCCAGGTCACTGTCCCACCCACCAGTTCCCTCAAGAACCAGCAGCGCCAGCCAGTGACCATGCCACCCCCATGCCCCAGCCCTACCCTCTGTGGCCGCTTGCAGGCGGCACCTCCCTGACCCATGCCTGTGTGTTTCAGACGAGGCCCGCTCCAAGAAGTGTGGGGTTTTGGTGCACTGCCTGGCGGGCATCAGCCGCTCCGTGACGGTCACTGTGGCCTACCTGATGCAGAAGATGAACCTGTCACTCAATGACGCCTATGACTTTGTCAAGAGGAAAAAGTCCAACATCTCGCCCAACTTCAACTTCATGGGGCAGCTGCTGGACTTCGAGCGGACGCTGGGGCTGCGCAGCCCATGCGACAACCACAGCCCCAGCGAGCAGCTCTACTTCTCCACGCCCACCAACCACAACCTGTTCCCGCTCAACACCCTGGAGTCCACGTGAGGCCAGGGCACCGGCGGGCCGGCAGGCGGGCCCGAGGAGCCGGACATTGCCTGTACCCAGAGGCCCGGGCTGACGGGCAGCCGTCACGGCCTGGCCTCTGTCTGCAAGACTCTCTGGAGAGGCCCCTCGGCACCCACACAGCTGCAGGAGTCCACCGGGGCCTCATCCTTGTCCCAAGACACTCTGTTCTGCTGGTGGCCCAGGCGGTGTGGCTATTTTTTAAAGACATCCACGGACCTGAGTTTACTTTTTACTTTCGGCAGGTAAATCCAACCTCCCTGGAGCAGAGAGTGTTCACGGTCTTCTCGACTTTTGTTTTTTTAATGAAAAGTGTTATTTTCAGGCTACATGCAACAGTGGATTGTATAAACCAGTATTTCACCCTTTCTTGATCCTGCGAGAGAGAGAGAAGTGTTCTCAGTTTTGTTTTACTTTCTATTTCAACAGGCAATTATTGTTTTTTTTTTTAATGGAAAAGACAAACCCTGTGTTGATCTTGACCAAATGCGTTTTGCACATGTGTGAAGCCTCCGTCCTGCAGCAGGCCCCCCACGAGCGGGCAGGTTGCTGCCACCTCAGCGTCAGACCCTGGTCGCAGCCCAGCTCGCCGTGGCCCTGCATCGGCCTGCGGTGGCCACTGCAAGTCGCAATGGGCCGGTCGGCCGAACAGGTGGCCTTTGCATTCTCCGCCCTCCCAACCGCCCCTCCGAGGTCCCTGCAGACTCCCCAGCGCAGGAGATGGAGGCGCTGCAGCCAGAGGAGGGGCCGTGGGGACTGCACGGCAGCAGCATTAGCCCTTCGGGCTCGGCCCCCGGGCGGGCCTGGGCCCCGGGCCTACACACCCACTACTTCTGTCTCTCTCTCTCTCTCTCAATCTCTCTCTCTCTCTCTTTCTCACTGAGAGTGGAGGCCCAGCGGCTGGGGGAAGCGAGGTGGTGGGGGCCCAGCCCTGCTCCCCAAGTTTCTGTCCCTGACCCTGGCTGTTGCTTTGGCTCAGCTGCCACTCCCGGCCCCCTTGTCCCCGTGGCAGCCTGCCCAGCACTCAGCTGGCCCATGCCTTCCACTGCCAGGGACCTCGCCGCCATTTCAGTCCTAGGGCCGGCGCGGACGGCGCGAGGATGGACAGGCGGACGGGGCGTGAGGCCCTGTCCACTGCCCCTGCGTCCACAGAACAAAGCCACGGATTCCGTTATCCTCCAATTCTGTCCCTCCTCCGGCCTCAGCTCTACCAGGTGTCGGGACTGCGTGGGGGCCGGGGCCGGGGTGCGGCCAGGCTGCGTCCCGAGCAAGCCAGCACTGGCACGAGAGCGAGGCCCGGCCCCTCTGCCCCCGCTGCATCTTACCTCACAGGGGTTGTTTTCAGGGATTCCTTAAGGCCGCAGATTAAAATCTTGCCAGTCGAGAAATTGACAAAAAGCTTCCATGCTGTACACGGTTCTCTTTCTCTCTTTTACTTTTCAAAAGGAAAACTCAGAAAGATGTATCGGATTTGTGTAAATGAGGGTGTGCCAAGAGGGTGGCCAGTTTTGCTTTACGATGTTATGAAGGAAAATTCGTGACCCTACATATATACACACACACATACATATATATATCCCGAACCAGCAACGGGACTTTGTTTATATTGCAAATAAATATTATTTTTTCTTTAAAATGAGTTGTGTCTGATACGGGCCAGGGGCTGGGGGAGGCGAGGAGGAACGCTGGCCAGCATCCCAGCGCCTGCTGTGTGTGAGGCAGGGGCTGCGGCCTGCCTGGCACTTGCTTTGATTGATCACAGGCGCCCACAGCCAGAGGAGCAGCCAGGCCTCTGGGAGAAGCTGGGCGTGGGCACTTTCCCAGCCCCCGGGCCCTGGCAGGCAAGGGCATCAGCTTTCTTTGGGGACTTTTGCTGATCGGTTGACAGGTGGTGATGGAAGCTTCGAGAGGTTCCATGGACCAAGGTCTCTCAGCTGAGCCTCCGCTCACCCGGAATCACCGAGGCTGTCCGGACGTTGTTGAGGGGGCCAAAGGTCTCTGTCCCCCGCAGCCCTGAGCCCTGGCCCTTTCTTTTGCTGCTTTGGGGGGGCGGACAGGGTGTGCATTTATCACTTTCTCCCCTTGCCCCCAAAGCCCCTGGGACACCAGTGGGACGTGAAACCTGGTCAGGGGTGAGTCAGCCCTTTGCTCCTTTGGAGCTGGGCGGCCTCCAACAGGTTCCTCGGCCTCCCCGAGCCTCAGTTTCCGTCTCTGTAAAATGGGGCCAGTCACACCCAGAGAGCTAGTGCTTTCGTTTGTTTCTTGGTCTGATCCTGGGCCTACACAGAGGGATCGGCCATGTCTGGCTTCTCCAGGGAAGGTGAGCTTTGGCCATCCGTGCAGCCCCTCTAGGGGCTCCAGGCCAGAGCAGGGAGCAGGGAAGGAGCCTGGAGAAGGATGGTGGCCGTGCCTGGGGGAGCGAGGCCCACGTCACAGATGGGGAAGTGGAGGCCAGAGGGGCTTCTGTCTCTCCTTTGCCTCTAGCTGGATTGAGTGACTGAGCCCCAGTCAGGGACCAGGAGGCCTGGGAGCTGACTCAGTCTCCCCATCTCTGCCTCTCACCTGGCTTTGTCACTGCCACTGTGAGCAGCACTGGACTGGCCTCACGTGGGCGGGCAGGTGGGTGGGCAGGGCTGGGAGGATGAGGGCAACTCAGCCCTTCTCAGGGACTCTCCCATCGAGCTGTCCAGGCTGTGCCTTCTCTCTCTCTGCCGCGTCTCTGCCCGAGTGACCTCTGACCAGAGCAGTCACACTTTCGCCCGTGTGATGACAGGCAAAGGGCAGGGTCTGTAAGCAAAGGGACTCGGGTTCGAATCCCAGCCGTGTGGCTGCCAGCTTCTCCCCTCTCTCGGCCTCCGGATCTTACAATGGGGGAACTCCACGGCACAGCCAGCAAGGCTGGGGGGGGGAGCGCAGGGTTCTCGTGGCGTAGGCAAAGGAGGGGTGCTACTTTTGCTCTTGGGCTTCCTCGGGGCTCTGGCCCTTCTGTGCCAGGGGCAGGCAAGGGGGTGGGGGCCCGAGCGGGCAAAGACTGGGCCTTTGTTTCCTCTCGCCGCCCTCCGCCAGGGCTGGGGAGGCCCGCGGGTGCCGGGCTGGGGGCTGGGCCCTCGACAGGCTGAGTAAGTGCCTGGCGGTGCCAGCGCGCCCAAGCACAGGATGGAAGGAGGCAGCCTCAAGAGAGAGGCCACCCCGTCAGCGCCCTGCCCCCCCAAGGCCAGGCAGCCCGTCTGACCCTCAGTGTCCTCCTCCTCTATAGAAATTTGCACCTCAGCACCGTGCCCGGCGGGGGTTCCCTTCTGCTGAGAACGGAGGATCCAGTCATGGCTAGATGGCTCCCTCTGTGACCTTGGGTCCTTGCTCTGTGACCTTGGGCTAGGTCATGCCTACTTTGGACTTGTTTCCACCTGGGCCCCAGGTTCTTGCTTCGTGGTGTCTCTGATCGGCCTCATGGTCCACTCCGAACTCCTGTTATTCCTCCCTGCTTCTACTGCGCTGTCCGCCATGGGCCCTGTCCATCCCAGGCCATCTTTGGCTGAGACCCTCGGTGCCCGTGTCCCCTGAGCTCCTGGACACCGGCTCTCTGGGGCGGAATCTGCTTGTCTCCCTGTCCCATCTCTTTCCTCCTGACCCTGCTGGCCCTGTGCCTCCCTTTGGGTCCGTTTCTGTCTTCATCTCAGCCTGGTTCCCAGGGACCCGCTCATTCATTTCTTAGCTATTCCTTAGCATTCTCACGGGAGGAGGGTCTGAGCCGCTCACTGGCTGGCTCGCCGGCTCACTGGCACATTCATCCCGCAGCCATTTCCTGTCCCGGCTGGGCCCTCAGGAGTGGGAACATGCCCCGGGGAAGATCAGTGATGTCAGGCTGGGTTGCAGGATAATGGGGCCCTCGCCTTGTCCTCTGATAAATGAATCAGGTGCAACAGCAGCAGTGACTCAGGCTGGACACGAGAAGGAACTTGTAGCTCTGTGGAGCGGTTCCCTAAGGTGGGTCTGCTCTGAGCCTGGGGGAGGGGGAGGCAGCACTCAGGAGAGTGGTTACCCCCTGGGGCCCTCGCCAGAGTGCAATCCCAGTCATTCCTCAGGAATGGGGCAGGATGGGGGCTGGCAGCGAGCCTGTGATGGCACCTGCCGCTCCTCTGCTGCCGCCTGGCACACTCAGGCCTGCCTCCGACACTGTCTGCGTGGGCCTGCCCTTTGTGTCCGTGTGGCTGTCACCGAAAACACCAGCCTCGACACCCAGACCCTAACAGGAGCCAGAGAGCCTGCTGGGGGAGCTAGGTATCTCTGGAGAAAGGATGCTAACTGCCAACCTCTGGGTGCCCAGGAGCCTAGGTTGCATGAGGGGGTGTCTGGTCTGATCTTTGACATATTTCCCCAGCTCGTTCTGGGCCCCACCTGGGCACAGCCCTCTCAGGTCCTTCCAGAGGCCTCCGGGGACCGATCCCATCTGACTCCTAGTACCCAGAAGACCTGAGAGGCAGGGTAAGTTCCGAATCGTCCTGCTCCCCCGAACCCCGTGCAGACCGGGCGGCACAGAGTGGGACAGCGTAGATGTGAGGCCTCCGCACCCTGCTGCCCTGAGTCTTTCTACCCAAGTCCTGCCTCCCCCACCGGGCTGGGAGCCTTCTGCCTCTGGCTCCGTGAAGGACCAGATGCGCGTGCACACACGCGCGTGCGCGCACATGCACACACAGCCCCCTCATTTCTCAGACCGAACAAGCCCATGCAGGTCTCATAGTGATGGTGGAGCCGCCTGCCTCTGACTCCAGCCTCCTCTGCTCAGGGCGTGGCCCGAGTGAGGTCATCCCTTCCCAGACACTGCCATTAAAGACCATCATTAGCAACTCTCTCGAGGTAAGATGAGTCCCATTGTCTCCGGCAGGGTCAGATGAGCCCCAGCAGGTGACATGAGCCCCTCCCAGAGCACCGTGCTCAGGCAGCCCGGCCCCTTCCCAGGGCCGCCCAACATACACCTCCAGGGATCATCACCTACCCCACAGCTTCTGTGCATCTGGACTCTCCATCAGCCCCTCCACACCCACTCCTCCTCCTCCGGCCCGATCCTGCCACCCCTGCCGCAGGCAAGGGAGAAGCCGCAGCCCCTTCTCAGGGCTGGAATGACCAGGGGAAGTGGGGGTGGTGGTCCAGGGGACAAAAGCTTTGAGCCCAGGGCTGACAGGTCTGGTTGTTGCTAGAAAGATCGCCTCAGTGCTGAGTGGAGAATAGCCTGAGGGCCAAGTGTGCAGGACGGGGGACAATGGAGAGGCTGGGACAGTCAGCAGGGTGGGCGATGGGGGCTGGACCTCTGTGGCACAGGAGGAGAAGGCGAGAGGGGGACCAGCAGGGCTCGAGCCTCATGGTGGACAGAGAGTCCCAGCTTGTCTGGCTCCACGTCCATGACCCAAATACCAGCCACCATGCCGTGTGCAAGGACGGGTCTTAGCCAGGACCCTGGCCCCACCCCTCCCTGCACCCCCACACGTTGAACGCCCAGAGGGAGGCAGGGGGCCCCAGGGTCCTCCCTCGCCCTGGACACTCCTCCCCGGCACAGCACGGCCCCGGCGGCCGCTCTCAGAGCCTCGGTCTTTTCATCTGCACGGCAGGGATAAGGACCGTGGTCTGAGGGGAGAAGGCGGGAAGAAGGGGCTCCCTCTCCGCGGGGGCCTTGGGACTGAGAGTCCCGGCCACGCCGACTTAGCCGTGACCCCTTCTGCAGAGGGCGCCTCCCAGGGCCAGCCACTGCCTCTGCCATGCGCTGCATGAGCCGGAACGAGCCTCCTCTCCCACCCAGTCTTCGGGCTCCCTGTTTGCACCGGCAAGAAATGAGAATAACGACCCCAAGGGACCTGGTTCTCAGACTCGGGACTTGGCTCTGTCCCAAGGGCCGGACAGCCTGGCATCGGGAGTAGGCTAGAAGCCAGTGCCCGCCCGAGAGGAGAAGGCTGGAGTCTAGAGCTGGGGGCCAGGCTGGGGTGGGGGCTTGGGCAGGGTGCCTGACTGGGGTGCAGTGGGCCAGGCCACGCCCCTCCCTGCCCCAGCAGACCCCTTTGCTGCAGCCCCTTGAGGACACTTCTTCCTTACACCCCCCCCACCCGGAAGGGTCCCTTGGTCCCAGGGCCCAGAGGAATTTAAGGTGCTGCCAAGCAGGATGCCCCCAGTGCGCTGTGGCCCCTGGTCACAGCACTACGGTCCACCACCCCCTGCTCCCGGCCTGTGTCTGGGGATGGTCTGATCACGGATTCCATGTGTCCTCCTGGGGCCGCTGGAAGCACCTGCTTCTCAGTCTGCTTTCTCTCTCTGTATTTCTTTGCTCAGAATTCCTACATTGTTGCCCAAAGACCCCCCTCCCAGGCTTTGGAATCCCCCAGCCCGGCCCGGCCCCAGCACCACACCTGTGTGGACTCGAGCCCGGGGCTTGCCTGGGGCCGCTGCCCTTGTGTCCCCCGCAGAGCCCAGCACGGGGGGCTGGGGACGACGGTCCTCGTGTGTGACAGCAGGAGCAAAGGCCGGGCTCACGCTATCCTCAGGTCCCGGAGCCTGGAGCCTGCAGCCCTCTCCCCTGCTCCTGGGAGGACGGGAGGCTGGACACCACTGTCCCACCTGGTCTCGGCGCTCAGCTCGTCTGGGCTCTTCACC